TTATCTAAATAAAAATAAAAATTGTTAAATATTTAAAAATGTGCACAACCATGACCGTCTAATCTAAAACATACCTACATCTTATTAAATTTTGAATAAGTATGTCTAGACTGTCTGTTTATTTATTATTGTTTTAAATATATTTTTACATATTTTTGTAGCTTTTGATAGTTGTATCTGTAGACAGTATGTATACTTTAAATTATTAAGACTAATTAAATAATAATTTATTAATAAAGAATAAGCAATTTTGGCGGTTTGGATTTCTCATTATTATTAGATCGTTGCCACCTATCTGCCTCGACATCAACGATTTTGACCAAATTTGGAACAGTTGTATATAAAGTGTATGTATGTATATTGATGTATACGAGGTATGTACCGTACTCCAATATTTATCAAATTAAGTGACTAGAAATTCCAAAATTTAAAAGAATTTCTAAAAACATTTAAAATTTTCAAAAAAATTGAATTTTTCGAAATTTCGAAAATTCTAGAATAGTCTTAAAAATCCTTTAAAATTTGTAAATTTACATATATACCAAACTTTTACAAATTAAAAAATACCGGTCCCTGCGACGTCTCAGGCCAAAAACGCGCTCTGATTGGCTTACTCAAAATCGCCGATAACTTTTTTAATTTTGATTTTTGAATAAAGTCGCAAAGGGAAAAAGATCTTGGATTATCGTAAGGAATCGACCTCTTTTGTATTGGTATGTATATATTTGTATAGAAACACTAACTGAACAATTCATCGATGTTTACTGACCGCAAAAATTAGGAAAAAAAGTACTCCTGGATACTAAGTTATAGTCCAGGCTGGACTAAAACTTAGTGTTTTGACATGTAAACAACAAAAATATAAGTTTAATGTAAAATTTATTCATTTTAGAAAACTTTAGTTTAGTAACATAAATTAATCTTACATGAAACCGTTTTAGTACATGTTACGGCATCTGTTGACTGGTGGATGTATTACCTCTTCCCGGTAACAGAAAACTGCGGTGAAGTAATAATGATTGATTACAAACGCTTCATATATGTCAAGGCTTAAGCCTGAAACACAATGAGACGGCGTTAAACGCAACGCAATCGGGAAGCAACGTTTTGAAATCTTGGCTGCATACAATGACGGCGTTCAACGCCGTTAAGTGAAATTTATTCAAGGACGTCAATAAGGGGGGGGTAATGGAGGAAATTACCCCCCAAGATAGAAGTGCTAAGAAAAAAAATTACTACAAATATAATGTATGAATGAAAGTCGCCCTCTATGAATAGTTTTTAAAGTGTGGCATAATAAAAGAAAAATAAAGATTTAGCTTCGGGATTCTACAGGTGAAGAAAGACTAGTAGGATTAGCATTGTTTCATGTACATTAGGGTGATTCATTTCCGCAAAGTTTTTGTTTTTTTTCGGTGCTCAAGCAAAATATTAATCTACCTATAGAAAAAAAAATGTTCACCAAGGTAGAGCTCTTAATATCAATTTTAAGTACTTGCAGTTTAAATTTAAAGTTTTCCCATTTAAAATGCATGTAAAAAAAATGGTTTTTTTTTCAAATTTCTAATGCTTACCCACCTTTGACAATATTGCAAATCGGTTTAATACACCTTATGGGGAATTTCACGCTCTTTAAAATTGCTTTTGAGTTTTTTTTTGTAACTCGCATTGGTTCACCAGTAGGAGTCGTCAAAGGACAGTTTTTGAAAAAAATCTTTTTTTTTTATTTTTTCGAGCAAATTGCCAAAAGTAGTGAGAAAAAAGGGCTGATTCATAAAAAAAAAGTTATCCAACCAATATTTAATGAATTTACTGCCATTTTTATAACTGAAAACGTAAGAAATTGATAAATACCAACCTATAATGTTATTTAGATTGATTTTTTCTATTTATTATCATTATATTTCCCTCACATATCAGAGTGCGTAAAACAACACATAAATTCATAAAAAAACAACAAAACTTTAATCGGAATATACAGAAGGTTATGTAACATATTTCAAATTTCGCTTCAAAAAATTAAATAATCTTCATTTATATTTTTTTGCTATTTTTTTATGAATTTATCTGTTGTTTTCATATTCATTATAAGTGAGAAATTAATAATTTTAAAAAACTTCTTAGTGTAGGGAAATATAATGATAATAAATAGAAAAAATCAATCTAAATAACATTATGAGTTGGTAATTATCAATTTCTTACGTTTTCAGTTATAAAAATGGCTGTAAATTCATTAAATATTGGTTGGATAACTTTTTTTTATGATTCAGCCCTACTTTTTGCGGTTTGTTAGAAAAAATTTAAAAAAAAAACGATTTTTTTCAAAAACTGTCCTTTGACGACTCCTACTGGTGAACCAATGCGAGTTACAAAAAAAAAACTCAAAAGCAATTTTAAAGAGCGTGAAATTCCCCATAAGGTGTATTAAACCGATTTGCAATATTGTCAAAGGTGGGTAAGCATTAGAAATTTGAAAAAAATATATATTTTTTACATGCATTTTAAACGGTAAAACTTTAAATTTAAATAGTAAGTACTTCAAATTTATATTAAGAGCTCAAACTTGTTGAGAATTTTTTTTTCTATATGCAGATTAATATTTTGCTTGAGCACCGAAGAAAACAAAAACTTTTCTCCCTACTTTTTGCGGTTTGTTAAACAAAATTAAAAAAAAAAACGATTTTTTTCAAAAACTGTCCTTTGACGACTCCTACTGGTGAACCAATGCGAGTTACAAAAAAAACCTCAAAAGCAATTTTAAAGAGCATGGAATTCCCCATAAGGTGTATTAAACCGATTTGCAATATTGTCAAAGGTGGATAAGCATTAGAAATTTGAAGAAAAAAAAACATTTTTTTTTACATGCATTTTAAATGGGAAAACTTTAAATTTAAACTGCAAGTACTTAAAATTGATATTAAGAGCTCAAACTTGTTGAGAATTTTTTTTTCTATATGCAGATTAATATTTTGCTTGAGCACCGAAGAAAACAAAAACTTTGCGGAAATGAATCACCCTAATGTACATAGGGATATAAAAATAAATATTGATAAGGTTTTGGATCGTTTTAAAAAAATGAAAAAAAAAACATAATAATTTTATAATTTGAATTTTATATTTAAAATATACAAAAGCAAATAAACAATAAGGAGTTTTGCAAAATTATTTTCCTTATGTAACCCTCCCCAATTAAAAAATTATCGACGCACTTGCATTTATTACACAGACAAGGGATAGGGTTGGGGGGTTGGAATTTATTATTATTTATTATTTTTTTCTTTTACACCTATGTCCAAGTATGGAATGATTCAACAAAACTGTCACTGTCATTCTCCATAGCCTAAGGACCATAGCAACCTTAGTTCTTCATACAGAAAGATATTGGAAATTGCAATGTTTTTTTAAAAAATCCATATTTTCCACAAAAATAAATATATTGAGGTGAACCAAAAACAAAACTGTTAAGAATAGATGTGACTTAATATACGGTTTTGCCACTCTACAGAGTGTCTTAAACTTATGGTAAAAAACATCTTTTTGTTTAAACCTGTATATTATAAACGTACATCTATTTTTTAGTAATTTTTTAAAATGTGATTGTCCATTAATTTATCTCTTTAATATTCGTTTAAATCCGACATTAAATAAAAAAGTTATTTGCGATTGAAATTCATCGAAAATTTGTGTGGATCGATTATTTTGCATGTGAGTGTATATGTCTAGGCTCACTGGGAAAATCACAATCTTTAGAAAAAAACTGTTAATTTTTGAAAAATTTGAAAAACAGGACATCCAGACATTTTAAAGTTCTGAAAAGGGTGGTAGAAAAGACCAAGGCCTATCCGTTTATGCAATAAAACGCTTCATATGTCAATGCTCACTGGGTAAATCCAAATCTCAATTTAAAAAATATGAACGAATATTTTAAAAATCTAAAAAATGTCAGGTTAATAGAAGAGACCAAGGCCTATCCGTTTCTGCAATAAAACGCTTCATATATATCAAGACAACCAAACTCTCAAACGGTAAAAAATTTGAAAAAACGGCACGTGCCACGTTAATTAGCTAAAATAATGGAAACTTTTAATACTCCACTCGGCATATTCTACAGAAACACTCACCCCCTTTAACAAGCCAAACTCCCCCTCCTCTACCCCTATAATCATAAAATAGTAAAATGAGCAAAAAAAGGAAAAATCAGAAAAAAACTAGGACAAGAAGAGCAAAATTCCGCAATATTAGTACAAATGTGCCAAATTATGTAAAATACCGCACAAAACAAATTTGTGATGTGCTACAAATCTAAAAACAATGCTATGCTTTTTCGAAATAAAAAGTTTTAGATCCTTAACATGCAGATCTGAAAACAGTCGATATTTTTCTTAATAAAAGGAAAATTAAATGTTTGTATTTTTGTTTTATTTTTTTGATAACACTGGTATTCAGCTTTAATATGGAAAAAACTACAAAGTGTGCAGATTTGCGAAGTTTTTCTATTTGTCTGTCTTTAATAAAAAAAAATACCAAATTTTATACGGAACTTAAACCACTTGCGCATTTTATTCAGTGACCCTTTACATAATCCCTTGTTTGTTTATCTAGAACGTTTTTTAGGTTAATTAAGTCATTGCAAATAAAAGAATCAATTGGGATTATGAGATTATTTAGAACTGTTAATTTAAAAAAAAAGGATATACTTGAAATGGATAAAGGAAAAGGGCGTGAATGTTTTTGTGATTGATGTAACTACAGGGTGTTAAGACAACACTTTAGTAATTCTAGGATATCAACCGATGAGTCATTTTGAATAAGCGTTGATTAATCTTTTCATTCAACGGAAATTTTCCAAAATAATAATAATTATCATTAAATTGATCATACAGAATTCAAAAATGTATATAATATGTTTAGTTTCAAATGACTAACAGTAGGACACTTACTGATTAAGTACCTAATATCCTAGAATTACCAAAGTGTTTTCCATAACACGCTATATAAATAGAAAAATAAAAGTTTTATTTAATAAAAACATATGTATACATTTAAAAATAAATAAATTATCCACATAAACCGCAGAATAAATAAGATAGGCAGCAAATACTAAAAAACAAAAATATTGTTATTAAAAAGAAAAAAGAAAATATGACAATTTACCTTTGAATTTCGTCTGAATTTGTCTCCATCTTGGGTTCTTTATTCTTAATTTTTCCCTTTCGTTCAGCCTGAAAGAATAAAAATTATTCCCATTTAAATTTTTAATTGTAACCAAGCTGAAATGAAATCTCATTAATATTTATCCTTGATCATTGATGCAGATTTTGTAAATTAATTGTTTTCAAAAAAACTTTCAAAAAGATTTTTGAAACACAAGTTTAAATTTATTGATTTTATAGTAAGAATTGTTTAATGATTGTTGTATACCCTTAATAATTTTTTCAAATTGATGATATTTGTGGAAGTTACAGAGCTTTAAAAATATATAAACACACCTCAATAATTTCTCCAATTTTATATTTTTTTAACTCCTTTTTGGCATCATTAGAATGTCCGGTATTCTCAAAATCTTTGGTACCATCTTTCCCGGCATGTTCCAATATTAAATCACTACCTCCCGGGTGCTAAAATCAATAATCAAATAATAACAATCACTTAAAATTGTCACTTTTTTACATCTTCCATATATTCAGTCACATCATACACTATGTCCCTAATCACAACCCAAACTGTTTTTTCCATAACGCCGTCATGTTTTTTAACTTCCTCTAAAGTTAATTGTTTAACTTCTTTATATAATTCCATTTTTACGAATGTAATTAAAAATATTTGTTTGTCTAAGGTAAGTACGAAATCCTGCAAAGTATTTATATAAGTGTGTAGTATACGTATACGTAGTCGAGTAATTTATATGATAAGCTCGTCATCGTTTGACCTTATCTGCCTACATGGGGACTACCCAAAGATAATACCGAGAAAAGTGTATATTTTATAAAAGAAATACGTCAACAAATAAACAGGTTAACTATACTTAATTATCAAATAAGAAAATTTTTTCCTCTATCATTTTTGCATTAGTGCCATTTCTTTTTTATAAAAAAATCATTAATTTTTTTAAAGTAAATTTTGTTAGATTTTTCTTCTGTATACGATTCACCAATAATTCTTGAATAAAATACTTTGTTTTATTTTTTAAATTTTAATTAAAGTAGGTGCTCAAAATAACAATATGAAATATTTGTTCGACGAACTCATTTTTTCGGTTAAACACTCCCGTTTATAGTAAACTGCTTGACTGTGCGGTGAAATGAAGTACGTGATCGAATTTTTTCCGGAAAACGTTGAGCGTTAATATTAACAGCATCATCAAGATTCCTGTCTGCTCCTCCATAAATCAAAATAATTTCTATTTTTCCTTCCACTGTTAAAAAATTCATTATGAATAACTGCTTAACGAAAGGAGGTATTTTTGTTTGCAAATTAATCTTCGAACTAAATTGATTAAATAATGCTAAACTATGTATAAATAGTTTCTTTATACCTCAATAATAATTATTATTTATAACTAAATAGCATTTTTTATACTTCAATTAGGATTAAATTAGTTAATTGACAATATAATGTTTTTGACCTAAAATGAGGTATTTTAACAAAAATAGTACAATAATCATTTAAATTAAAGGATTTAATGCTGGCACGTAAAAAGTGACCAGGGTGCGCAATTGATAATTATCACCGAATGAAATAATGTATAAAACTTAATCCAAAGGAAACTTAAATATTAGTTAAAAAATCGTGGGTACTTCAGATCAGATTTAATTTAATAAGATAATTATTACCAAAAAAAGTGATATTTTTATAGAAAAATTATTGCAGAATCGTATAAGAAGAAAAATCAAACAAAATTGATTTGTTTTCATTACAGCGTCATCTATTACAAATTTGAAAAAATGTTTTAGACAAAATCTACCTATTTTTAGTCGAATGATCCGAATCTGCAATAAAAAATAGGGTGTTCCATTGGAAATTTTAGTTACCCCATGTTCCCCTATAAGGAGGAGAGTATGTGGACCAATTTTATTACCGATTGATTTCCCCCCTCGAATCATTTAATTTTTATTTAAAACATTTTTTCGTAAAATTCATACTAACTCACCCTGTATAATAAATTATGTATAATTTTTTTTATAAAAACAGTTTTGTAATTCGTGCGTTTCGCGCGCTTGAAATGGTCGTTTAAACTGAAACTGCAAAATATTCCCGTTAATTATTCCACCTTTTTCTCGGTATACCTATCTATAGATTTTACAATGAGTTTCATATTTACACACTTTAAAACGCGGGCCCAATGTTCCTTATCCGGCAATTACCCGTAAATCCTTTAGATGTGATTTTGAATAAATACGCGTCATTTGAACTTTCACAGAGTAAAATTACATTGAGCGAGACAGATATTTTGTGTTGAATTTATAATGTGTATGTTTTTTTATCAATAATTATCGATTTTGACAAGGCCAAATTATGGATTAAAATCAAATTCTTAAAACTCTTATTTTTTAAATAATACACATTTGGAGATTTTAAGATTGTACGAGGTGTGTTCAGAAAATAACGGGAATTGTTAAATTTCGCGGGTTCGGAGGGTCCGGTTGTCATAAAATTTTCTTTATTATGTTGGTATACATGCCCCCGAAGTATGATAAAAACCTTAGCTGTTTTCATTGTTTACTTTGTCTGTGGTAGCCGCTAAGGTTAGACGTGTTTTTATGAGCTCGGCGATTTTCGTTCGTTAAAAGAAATGGATCAAAGAATTTGTATCCAATTTTGCTTAAAAATGAAATAAATCCTGTGAAATGTTAACAAAGGCCTATAGTGAGTCTGCTATAAGTAAAACAAGAGTTTACAAGTGGTATAAGAGTTTCCAAGATGGCCGTGAAGACGTTGAAGATGACAAACGCCCCGAACGCACAAGCACATTAACAACCGATAAAAACATGGAAAAAGTGGAAGAAATGGATATAAACCATCAGAGAAGTCGCTGATGATGTTGGTATATCGATTGGCTCATCCCATGAAATTTTTGTTTTGGGTATGAAACCCGTGGCAGCAAAATTTGTTCTAAAATTGTTAAATTTTGAACAACATTTTTGGCCAAAAACAATACTGTAATGATGCCCCAGCCTCCATATTTGCCAGTCATGCCTCTGTCTGACTTTTTCCTATATCCAAAAATAAAGAGAACCTTAAAGGGCCGTCGTTTTGCAAGCATAGATGACATTAAAAGCGCATCGCTGAAAGAACTAAAGGCTATCCCAAAGATCGAGTTTTAGAAGTGTTTCGAGTATTGGAAGAAGAGCTGGCACATGTGCATAATATCCAATGGGGACTATTTTGAAGGCGACAACATTAATGTAAACGAATAAATAAATATTTGTTACAAAAAACGAAAATTCCCGATATTTTCATACACACGTGTATGTATTTTATAAAATTGATATATCAATAGCTATGGATTTATATCATTTAGCCTATTTTTATTCCAAACAATATTGTCATATGATGGCAATGGAAAAAATAAACCTTTGGTTTCAAACGATTCAAATGTGATGATTTTAAATCCATTAATTAAGGTTTAAATCCATTATATTTCAATCATGTTTATTAACTTTGACGTTTATTGACAAAAAAAATGAGAAACTTACATAAAAACAAGAATTTTCAAAAAAATATGGATTTTAATTAAAAAACGCCTAATTTTTACTTTTTAAATAAATGTTAAATTAGCATAAATCACGGTTCTGAAATTGCATTAAATTGCAAATTTATTCAGGGTTGTTTCCCTATAAATTCGTGGTTTTAATATTTTAGTACATTGCAAAAAATGTCGTGTTAAAAACAAAATATAACTTAAGTTTTAGGTTTAATCGTCCCGAAAACCTCGTATAAACTTACAAAAATAGCTGTCGACAAAATAAATAAGCATCATTTGCTCCAATTATCGTGTTTAAATTCAAATTATATTATAAATGTCGGATTTTCCTGGTTGTTTACAAATGCGTTAATTGGACCGCGTATTTAATATTAATTTAAACGGTAATGCGATTCGCACTATATTTTATATGAGAATTATAATTATAAAATAAATGGACTATTGGGGTAAAATACAAAACGCAGCCTTCGGGCAATTCGTGGCAATATGTTTTGCAATTTTACACTGTTCAAAATTTCATGACCATTTTAACACCAAATTAACACCATACATGGTCTACTCGTATATCGATACAAACCAAAATGGTGTTAAATATGGTTCGTTGATCCAGTGTAAATTCAAATACTAAAATAGTGTAAATTTAACTTTCACACAGTATTAAAATTAATTTTACCTTGTGTAAATTGAACTCCTTTTCAGTGTTAAATATTATGTGTTTTTGGTCAAATTAAATCCTACTACACAGAATAAAAGGACACAGGAAGTTCCTTGACGCATTACTAGTATATTACCAGTGGTATTATTCCAGAAAATTGAACCTTCAACTCGCTTGAGATAATGTTTTTAGTGCGTTCCACCAACTTAAAATACTTCCATTATTGACAGCTGTTTCCATCTATTTAATGTCTCTATAGTATCGAACAACTTGTAGTGTCACACCAAAGCAAAGGACTACCCACAGAACATAATAGAACTAAAAGTTCCTATTCTAATATTGGCAACAACGATTTTACAAGAGGTGGTCACGCTCTGGCCTACTTGATCTTAAGTTTTTCGATGCGGTTCCGTAGCCCGCGAAATTTGAATAGGTTATTATTTAAAAATACTTATTTTTGATTTAAAAAATACAAAATTATTTAAAATAAACATTTATTGGTACATATATACATAAATAGAAGGGCAATATAACCTAAATTAATGGTTTATTACACATAATGTAGTTAATTAACTACATTACATACTTTATATAAATTTGCCTGTTTAGATTTTATTGTAGTAAAATAAATAAGTTATTTTTAGATTTTCTGTAACAAAAATGAGATTTAATAATTACTTGAAGATAATATAAGTATTATATTAGTATATTTTAATACAATAAAACCTAAAGAGCCGAATTTCAACACATAAACTATTAATTGTTTAAAACAATTTGTTTTATACATTATAAAGACATTCAGTAACCTTTGAATAAAAATACATTGTAAGATATTATAAGTTTTTAAATAGGTACTTAGTTAATTAGTATCAGGTAATATAATTTGATCATCGTTTGTGCACATTCATCAAAGAGTCTCTGATATAATGCTAAAAAAATACTTAATTAACATTTACAACAGTCAATTTTCTTAGTGACAAAAAATCTTATTTAATACATTTTTAATACCTTGTATATATTACACAAAAATAGCAACATTACAGTTAAATCTATTACCATAGGTTATATGTTATATATAAATAAGTATTTTGTCAGACTAAAAAGTGGAATCCCACATAAAAATATACTTAAAATAAACAATTGGGATCATCCATAAAGTATATCACACCTTTTTGGAGAATTTCAGACTCCCTCCCCTCATGTCCCACATAATTATATTATTATGTTATCTTAATCAATGATGTTATAATATTTTCAGTCTTGACCCTGGTGGCAGGTCTGCCTTTCCCCTAAACATGTGACCTACTTTATGGACAACCCCTTGTTAATAACATATGCTAAAAACTAAAATAAGTACAAATAAATAAAAATATATATTAATACCTAGTTATTAATATAAATTTATATTTATTTAAACCAATTATGAAGAATAATGATATATGATTAAATTTGA